CGTGCACCCGTACACGCCTCCGAGCACGCAACACAAGCGCGACACGCACACACGCCCACCCAGATGCACATATGCGCATGCAAAGCACACACGCACAAACGTGCACCCATACACATCCGAAGCACGCATGCACGCAAGCACACCGGAACCATCAACATACACGTAGACAACGAAACTAGTGCACGCAGAAATTCTTATTATGAGCTCAATGCACGATCTGTGGCTATATCACCCCGGCGCGCGCGGCGTAGTAACAATACTATAACTATATCAATAGATATTGAAAAAAACCGAATGGTGGTATATTGTGCATCTAGTTCTATAATTTGATCATCTGAGTATGACGTTACTCTATCCTTTTTTATGTGGCACATACATAACTCATTGCAAATAGTAGTATATAGCTATAGTATATATATATATATACCTATATATATATATATATGCTGTGTGTGTGTGGGTTACCTATACCGTACCGTATATGCATCGAACGAAGAAGCGTATAAAAAAAGGGAGCGATACAAACGGTGAATTGCCTGAAACAATCTTGCAGTGGATTAGTCGAAATTAATAAACTTTTGCCCGTTCCTCTTATTTTGAACGATTCCTGCAATACTATATTAATTAGCTGCCCAGTGCCTACCTTGTGAATAAAATAAGACCGCATAGCCCCTGTACGATTGCCCCTACGGCTGCCAGGGATAAGTTGAGCGGTGAAAATCTTGTATTTGTCGACCGAAAAAACCGGACTCGAGAATACCTTGCGACTGCGGACTGTCTCTCGCTTGAGATAGACTCGGGCCGAAACACCTCGCGTCGTTTTCCCCGTCAATGATTGACAAATGGAATGAATGACGTCTGTTATTGATTACTATAGCTTGATGACCCCCACCTGTGCCCACCTCACGCGGGGATGTTGTTAGTGCCCGAAGTTTTCGCGGAATCGCGGAACGCGAGGTGAAAGCGGCGAAAACTCAGGCTTGAAAAAGAATGTAAAAATTAACGCGACTAGAGCCTAGGACACACTGTTAGCGATTTTCTCACGCTGGCCGCTGTGTGGGAGCGTATCAATCAAAGAGCCGGTGCGCGGCTGTCAGCGCGGGGCGTCTGTGCGGCGGGGGGGTTCGGGGGCCGCGCGGGGGCGCGTGGGGTCCGGCGGGCGGCTGGGGCGTAGGTCGCCGGCGGGGCGTGGTGAGCGCGGCGCGTCTCACGGGCAGCGTATGTCGGCGTCGCCGATCCCGGCGATGTTTCTACGGCTGGCCGCGGGGGGCGCAACCCCCGGCGGCCGGGCGTGTGGGGCGGTGTGTCCCGGTTTCTGCTGTCGGTGGTGTGGGGGCCCGTGGGGGGCGGCGGTGGGCCGGTGTTGCCGGGGCGGCTGCGCGTGGGCGGCGCGGTTGGGCTGGTGGTGGGCGATCATGATAAATACGGTGCCGGGCACGTCTCGCGCCGGCGGGGGTGTCGCGCCGCCCGGCCCCGGGGCGCCGGGGCCCGGGTCGGGGCGCGCGCGGCGTCCGGGCGGGGGCGGCGCTCGCGCGCGGCGCGGTCTCACGGGGCAAGCTGCGCGATTCTCTGCTCGCCGCATCCCGGCGGGTATTTGTGCTAGGCTGGGCCGCTCTCCGGCCGATCGATACGCAATTCTCCACGGCTGCCCCGGTGTCACGCCGTCGGTGCGCTGCGCGGACGCTGGGCCGGCGGGGCTTCTTTGCGCCGGCGGCGCTGTTGGTCCGGGCGGGTGTGCGGGGCCACCTCCTCGTACGGCCAGTCGGGTATTTGCGCTCGCGATTCCCATACCGACGCCGGCGCGTGATCGCTCGCATTCAACGCTCGGTTTTCAACCGGGTTCTTGGGTGTTGGCGATGGTCTTTTGCATACAAATAAAAAAAATTAAGGCTTTTTGTAAGCTTATTGGTGAAAATTATAAAATGGCGAAATTTAGAAAGCAGAAGAAAGCAGGGAGATTCGGAGGGGGAGTTGGGGTAAAGGCAGAGAGAAAGGGGCGAGGGAATGTTAAGCATGATAAAGGCGAGGAAAACTGATGCTTCGTCTTTATGTGTGCGTGCTCGGGACGTGTACGGTTGCACGTTTATGTGTGTGTGCTCGGGACGTGTACGGTTGCACGTTTATGTGTGCGTGGTCGGGATGTGTACGGGTGCACGTTTGTGTGTGCGTGCTCGGGACGTGTACGGGTGCACGTTTATGTGTGCGTGCTCTGGGACGTGTACGGTTGCACGTTTATGTGTGCGTGCTCGGGACGTGTACGGTTGCACGTTTATGTGTGTGTGCTCGGGACGTGTACGGGTGCACGTTTGTGTGTGTGCTTTCATGCATACATGCATCATGCATACGTAC